GAGTGGATTGTCATGCCCTTCTCCAGGGGATCTTCCCAACCCACGGATTGAACCTGAGTCTCATGTCTCCTGCATTGGCAGCCAGGTTCCTTACCACAAGTGCCACCTGGAAAGCCCAAACCACCTTACATCTCTCCATATTTTCAGTTCCCAGCCCTCATTATCAACTCATCTGCCCACATTCCTTCAGTTTCCCCCACAGGCCCAGAAAGGTGCCTGCACACATCTGAGTTCACACCCTTTCTCTGCTCAAGAACCCTCCATGGATCCCTTTTACTGAGTGAAAGCCAAAGCAACCCACAGGGCCCTGCCGCATCTGCCCCCTTAATGCGCTCAGGCTGCCCTCATCCAGCCGCCCTGACCCCAGGGCTTATGCCAGAAACACACACCACCTGGCTCTTTTCACAGCTAGCTCCTTATCCTCCTGCTTTCAGCTCAGGGGTCGCCTCCAGGAAGTTTCCCTGCTCACTGAAAGCTGTCTTAGCTAACTTGTGGATACCAAGGAGGGAAGCGGGCTAGGATGAATTGGGAGATTGGGACTGACAGTGTCACACTTTGTTCAGTTTAGTTCAGTCCAGTCCCCCAGTCGTGTTCGACTCTGCAAACCCAAGGTCTGCTGCACACCAGGCTTCCTTGTCCATCACCAACTCTCAGTGCTTGCTCAAACTCATGCCCATCGAGTCGGTGATGCCATCCAACCATCTCATCCTGTCGTCCCCTTCTCCTGCCTTCAATCTTTCCCAGCATCAGGGTCCTTTCCAATGAGTCAGTTCTTTGCATCAGGTGGTCAAAGTATTGGAGCTTCAGTTTCAGTCCTTCCAATGAATATTCAGGATTTATTTCCTTTAGGATTGACTGGTTTGATCTTGCAGTCCAAGGGACTCTCAAGAGTCTTCTCCAACACCACAGTTCAAAAGCATCAATTCTTTGGCACTCAGCTTTCTGTATGGTCCAACTCTCACATCCATACATGACTACTGGAAAAACCATAGCTTTGACTATACAGACCTTTGTCGGCAAAATGATGTCTCTGCTTTTTAATATGCTGTCTAGGTTGGTCATAGCTTTTCTTTCAAGGAGCAAACATCTTTTAATTTCATGGTTGCAGTCACCATCTGCAGTGATTTTGGAGCCCAGAGAAATAAAGTCTGTCACTGTTTCCATTTTTTCCCTATCTATGTGCCATGAAGTGATAGATCCGGATGCCATGATCTTAGTTTTCCGAATGCTGAGTTTAAAGCCAACTTTTTCACTCTCCTCTTTCACTTTCATCAAGAGGCTTTTTAGTTCTTCACTTTCTGCCATAAGGGTGGCATCATCTGCTTATGAGGTTACTGATATTTCTCCCAGCAATCTTGATTCCAGCTTGTGATTCATCTAACACTGCATTTCGCATGATGTACTGTCCATACAAGTTAAATAAGCAGGGTGACAATATACAGCCTTGACATACACCTTTTCCAATTTGGAACCAGTCTGTTTTTCCATGTCTGGTTCTAACTGTTGGTTCTTGACCTGCATACAGATTCCTCAGGAGGCAGTTCAGGTGGTCTGGTATTTCCATCTCTTCAAGAATTTTCCAGTTTGTTGTGATCCACATAGCCAAAGGCTTTGGAGTAGTCAATAAAGCAGTAGATGTTTTTCTGGCATTCTCTTGCTTTTTTGATGATCCCTGTTTAGCACAGGGAACTCTGCTCTATGCTGTGGTGACTTAAATGGGAAGGAAATCTAAACAAGATATATACATATATATCTGTACTTACATACATACATAACCTCAGATACACAGATAACACTACCCTAGTGGCAGAAATCAAGAGGAACTAAAGAGCCTCTTGATGAAGGTGAAAGAGGAGAGCGAAAAATCTGGCTTAAAACTCAACATTCAAAAAACTAAGATCATGGCGTCTGGTCCCATTACTTGATGGCAAATAGGTTGGGAAAAAATGGAAACAGGTACAAACTTTATTTTCTTGGGCTCCAAAATCACTGCAGATGGTGACTTTAGCCATGAAATTAAAAGATGCTTGCTCCCTGGAAAAAAAGCTCTGACAAACCCAGACATCATATTAAAAAGCAGAGACATCACTTTGCTGACAAAGGTCTGTAGAGTCAAAGCTATGGTTTTCCCAGTAGTCGTGTACCTGAGAGTTGGGACCATAAAGGTTGAGTGCTCAAGAATTGATGCTCTCAAACTGTGGTTATAGAGACTCTTGAAAGCCACTTGGTCTGCAAGGACATCAAACCAGTCAATCATAAAGGAAACCAACCCTGAAGATTCATTGGAGGTACTGACGTTGAAGCTCCAATACTTTGACCACCTGATGCGAAGAACTGACTCATTGGAAAAGACCCTAACGCTGGGAAAGATTGAAGGCAGGAGAAAGGGATGACAGAGGATGAGATAGTTGGATGGGATCACCAACTCGATGGGCATGAGTTTGAGCAAACTCTGGGAGACAGTGAAGGACAGGGAAGCCTGGTGTGATGCAGCTGATGGGGTTGCAGAGTCGGACACGACCCAGTGACTGAACAATACATACGTATGTACACATCACCCTACTGTACAGCAGAAAGTAACACAACACTGTAAAGCAACTACCGTTGCTTAGTCTCTAAGTTGTGTTTGACTCTTCTGTCCATGGGATTTCCCAGGCAATGGAGTGGGTTGCCATTTTCCTTCTCCAGATCTTCTGTCATTTCTTCTAGCAGATCTTCCCCACCCAGACACCGAATCTAAGTCTCCTGCACAAACAGGTGGATTCTTCACCACTGAGCCAGCAGGGAAGCCTAGTCATGATCTGATCTGCCCCTATATCAAAGAGATTTAATAGGGGCTGCTTTAGAAGAATGAGATACTCAAAAGCCAGTTTTTCAGAAATGTAATCTTGGGAATACCCTGCCTCGCATGAGTAGTTAGGATTCAGTGCTTTCATTGATGGGGGTCCGGGTTCGATCCCTAGTCAGGGAACTAAAACCCTGCAAGCTGAGTGACTTGGCCAAAAAAGAAAATGTAACCTAGGGATCCTTCCAAGAGAGGTCTAAGGACTTGAGAGTCAGAAAACTAGAACTCTTCCTCGTTCTGCCACTTGGTAGCGCTGTTAGCTTGGTCAAGTTGCCCTACTTCTGTGCATCTTCCCTCAAGTGTCATACAGAGGCATAGCTGATCTCTAACTTCTGGCTAAAGCCAAGTTATCAGCTCTACTGTTATGGTGCTTGGGAACAATCTAAGCTTATTTTAGCTAACTATGTCTGAATACATGTCCCATTAATTTAACCAAAACTTTCTTCAACCTCAAGCTTTATTTAAAAAAGATCTCTAAGTTGGGGTGAGGTGGGGAAGGCAAAATGCTGAATGCCTATCGTTTATGTGAAAAACGCTAATAAAAATAAATAAAACATCTCTGTTAAATACACCAAAAAACTTTACAGTGGTTGCCAAGAAATGTGTCAGGAAGAGGTAAACTGACTCCGTTTTCTTACATTCTTTTGCACATTTGACATTTTGTATCATGTGAATAATCATTGGTTTAAGACCTTAAGTGTAAATAAAAATGAAAAGTAATGGGTACAGCATGCACTCATTCTGTAATCACATTTTTACACTTTATCTTTTTAACAATAACTATCATTTTGGGGCATTTGTTCTGCGCAAATAATTGTACTAGGTGCTTCTAAGAAAAATCATCACCATTTTGAAGATAACCATACGAAGGTCCAGGGACGTGTACTATTCTTGGTCACACCCGGAGACTCGAACTTCGGGCGACCCTGGATCTTGTATTCTGAATAAACTAGCTGCTCCATCCTTACGTTTTTGTAAGGACGATCCAAAATTAGGGCATTAAGTCTTAAACGACTTCTCGCCTTCTCCAGGAAATTTTTTGAACCACTCCTTGTTCCAAATAACAGCAGTATCTGAAGCACGGCCTCGCACAAATCAACCTAATTAACGACGCCTGTTGAGCGCTAGATTGACCCCGACACTGAAGGGGAGCGGGGTTTAGCTTAGGTACATTGTACAACAGGGATCTCACAAAGCGCTCGAGAGGAGTCAACGACACCAGGCTTGTAAAAAAAGGCGCTGGGTCCCCGATAGCTTTACTTATGAGGCCCAAGATGTGGTTGGCCGAGCAACCGTTGCAGCCCCCGCTCTCCCACGAAAGACCGGGAAGCCTCCAGTCCGGTCTTTTTCTGGATCGGGCGTCAGTTTGTCCATCTGCGAAAAGGGGACTGGAAGATCCCGACCGACTCGGCTTTGCTCTTCGGAGGCTCGGCAATCCGGCTGGGCGCTACATAGGATAAAGTCTTAACACCAAAGACCCGAGGTGTTCGCTGGGACCAGTCTAGGGACAGCAACGAGGAGCTCGGGCCGGCCGTTGCTCGCACACGCACCTCCAGTCTGCTCGGCCTCTCGTGAAGATGCGGACAGTGTGGAGAAAGTTTCGCCGGAACGCCTCGGTTGGAAACGATGAAACTGCTACCGAGACTCACCCACTACGAGGATGCTGACGCGCCTGCCTCTAAGGGTCGTTTCCGCCAACGTACTTCTAGTGTAAGATGGCGTCCGCGCAGGCGCGTAAACTAGCAGCGGCAGGAGGCTCCGCCCCTCAACCTGCATCACCTGGTAATGGCTTATCAAAAACCGCCATTGAAAAAAAAGCGCCGATATTGTCACATGACTCAGGTCTACCAATAAGACAAGGGAAAGGCCCAAAAGTTCTTGTCACGTGGCCAAGGAGAGCTCTGAATTTGCCACTGTCACATGATCAAGCAGAGGCGTGGAAAGGGGCGGGGAACCGTTCCGGCTGCACGTAACAGCTACGTTTCTGACACGTGACTAGGGCCCGCCTCCATATCTCTCTTTGTCCCTCCTTCCCTTTCCGGCTGGGCCTGCGTCGAGCGGCAACGCAGCGGCGAAGGGGCGGGGCTCCGGCCGGTCACGTGCTCCCGCACCTCCCCGGCGCGCGCCCGCCCGCTCGCCCCCGGCCCCGGCTCCTCCTCCTCCTCTTCTCGCCATTGCAGTTGGACTCAGCAGCCCGGTGCGCACCGCGTGGCTTTTGGGGGGAGACCCCGGTGGGCTCTGGCAGGAGGGCGGCGGCCGCGGTCGGAGAACGGGACGCGGACGAGGTAAGCGTCAATGTGGCGGCGGCCGGGCCCGCTCCCGCCTCTCCTCCTCCCCCCCGTCAGTCCTCTCAGCGCGGGCTCCGCTAAGGAGTAGCCGTGACATGGCCTGAGGCGCCCCGCGCTCCCCGCCTCCGCCGGGTCCTTTCGTCCCGGCGCCTGGCTCATTCCTCCCTTGTCAGCCTCGCTCCCGCGTTTGGCCGTTACTCTCCCCCATTGTGCCGAGGAAACAAAATGGCGGCGGCGGCGGCGAGGGCCCGTGGGGGTGCGCGCGCACCGGGCCCCCGGCCGCCGCCTCCCCCGGGCCGGGCTTTGTCTGTTGCGGCGCACGCGCGCACGTGCCTGGAGCACACACCCCCTCCGGCCCGGAGCATCCTGACCCGGGATGCAGGGACGATCCCCCTTCCACCACTCCTTCTCTTTGTCCCAGTCCCGCCCCGAGTTCCAGGAGGGTCCCAGGTTCCTGAGGCGGGAAACATGTCCTCCTTTGTCCTTACGTGGGGCAGAGAGGCAATCCCCTTCCCTGGAACCCCATACTTAGGTGGATTGCAGGGAAAGCTGCTTGGGGTCCTCAAATCTCTGGCTAACCAGCCCTCCCCTAGATTAGGAACCAAATCTAGCGGAGGATTTACGCTTTCTCTCTCCAGGCGATTCGTTGATGTTGGCCTTTTTTTTTCCAGACTGTTTAGGACTTGCATTCTCTCCTAAAACTGATCTGGTGCGAAATTTGAGTATCCTGTGATCTGTAAAATTGGGACCGAAGCATGAGAGCTTGAAACCCGTTTCTGTCTTATTTTCTGAAGTAGTTGAGGGACAGATTCCTGGGGTTGCTCTTGAGTTTCTGTCCTGAAATACTGCACCTGGGGGGGATTATTCGGGGTGTGCAGTCATCTGCATGCTCTCCCCCAGTCATTGTCTAAAAGAGTAAGCCATCTCTTCTTAACACTTGCAGAACTGGTTGAAAGTTGCTTGGGATTCTGCCTAGGGGACTTGATTGAGCAGCAAGGAAGCATCAGTTAACTTTTAATGGACTCAGGTATTCCAGGGATTCTGAATCTTGTTATTGCTTAGGATTGTGATCTCTTTAAAATGAGTGGTTTGGTGGCATATTTGGAATCCGTGGGAGAACCCAAGGTGCTACCGAAGTTGGTTCTCAAAATTTAGGACTTACTCTTTCCCTCAAGTATCTGTGGTTGGGAATCTCCTCAGGTTGCTCCCAGCAGCTGCCACTATGCTTTGTGTGTGGTCTCGTGGGATGTGGCTACAGCAGCCGCTCAGACTGTGAATGAACTGTGGGAACCAGCAGCTCATTCACAGCTGGAATAGCGGTGGAAAGGCCCCAGGGCACAGGCGAGTGCTACTGTTCCAGACAGTAGTCCTGAGTTGTTTCTTGGCCATGTGGACAGCTCTTGGTCCCTGGCTTTGTGAATAGAATCTCTGCAGACCTTAGCGCTGTCTGAGTTGATTGGAGGCTGGCAATTACTGCCAGAGGTGGCCTTGCCAACACTGAACACTGATTTATCAGAGGCTCCCTACCCTGCTGGAGCTTGGGCCAGCCTGGGAATCGCCCTCTCTCTGGAATGGAGTGGTACCTAACCCTTTGCAGTTTTTGTTTCCTTTTCCTGATTGGACTTGTCTAGTGCCTGTAGGGGAAAATTCCTTTATCTTCTTCCAGGGTACTTGAGGAGATGCCCATATTATTGGGAGTGAGAAATCTAAGACTGTCTTTTGTTTTTCTTAAATTTTTCTTATTGAAAAAACTAACATTGGCAAGAGTGGCTGGTAATATTAATATTTTGATGTCACAAATATGGTGTCATGCTCCCCTGGATAAGTTCACCAGGTAGGGACAAGTGGGGTGAGTCACTGATGAAGAAAGAGCCGTCTCCAAGTCACATAAGCCTCTTCTCTTTGAGTAAATGTAGGCAGCGTCTTGTCTGTCTTTGGGCTTTAGCAGGATGTGAGAGTTGGAAATGTTCTTGCTTTTGAGAAAGGTTTTAAAAGTTTTCTTTGGGCAGAGGCAGCTCCCTCTTAACTTTTCTCATCTTTCTCCCCAGTTCCTCCAGATTTCACCTTTTGCATCTTAGAAGAATGATTCTTTTCCCCCAGGAACTTGAGTTTTTATGTCCTTGGACTTGCCCTCGTGCTACATTTTGTCATCAAGTTGCTTTTAACTGTGTGCAGTTCTGAAAGATGTGTAAAATGTCACCTATCTAGTATTAGCAGATGTGGCCCACAAAACGGTGATAATTTTATTTGAATATTGCTTTCATTGAATCTTCTGAAGAATTAGATTTTCTAAGCCTTGTATATTGGCATCTTTTTATTTTAGCAAAGACCTGGGCAAGAAAGATTTGATTTCTGCTTCCAACGGAAGGATTTAGAATTAGAGACAGTTGGTGATATGACGGAGTTTTATTGATGTCTTAGCAGTAAAGAATCCACCTGCAGTGCAGGAGACTCGGGTCGGATCCCTGGGTGGGAAAGATCCTCTGGAGGAGGAAATGGCAGCCCACTCTGGTATTCTTGTCTGGAGAATCCCATGAACAGAGGAGCATGGTGGGTTATAGTCCATGGGGTCACAAAGAGTCAGGACTTAGCAACTAAACAACAAGGGACTCTACAGGAGTCTACACACTGTTGGTTAGTAAAATGGGCTCAGGGTCCTAAAAGAGACAAGGCTGGCTTCAGTGTCTTGCTCAGCATTTGACAGTTTTTGGCTGAAACAACCAGCTCCTCTCTTTGTCACTTAGGGCAGTTTGGTGTTGCCTCCATAGGGCTCGCACCACAGAAGTAATAGTGAATGCAGGGTGGGCATGTGTTTGTTGTGGAGCCTTGTGAGTGTGCTGACTTTTTAAAATGAATTGGTTCTTGCCACCTTATGTTCTGCTGAATCCCTGTGAGATTTTTCCTAGACATCACTTGATAGGTGGTCCTGTTATAAATTACAATGGGAAATTCAGCCAGACTTTTCATTAGCTGTTTTCAGATGTTTTGTGAAATAGTGTCTAGTTGAAATTTAATTTTTTTTCTTACCTCACTGAATGTCTGTAGTGAAGAAATTGAAAATGTAGCTACTAGTTTTAATGGGGAAATGAGTTTACTGACCAATGACTATTTTTTTGTCTGTATATGATCACAAAGGATCATTTAGTTACAAAATTGAATGTGTGTCCCTTAGTTGAGTGTGTAAATTTGCTCCAGATTTTTTTTTTTTTTTTTTTAGTAATCTTAGATGATTCATGAGAAATGGTGTTATTGGCAGTTTGAGGGTCAGGGTAATTTTCCTTGAAACAGCCATTCATATTATTTCCATTAGGGTTGTAGTTCATGCTCAAGGATAAGGTCTTATTGGAATAATATTCCAGGCCACTTGGCTTTTTTGCTGCTTTCTTTTGAACTGATTTCTTCCTCTTATCAGAGTGTACATGAGATATATGTATGTCTAAAAGATGAATGTTGCAAGTTGGGCTTGCTTTTCCATGATACATAGAGTTTTTGCAGGTTAATAATTGTTACTATGTATTCATAATTCCAAAAAAACTTTAAATTTCCCTAATAACAGAAAGGGCCAGCCTGGCTCCATGGCTTATAGTGGCACTTAATGTTTATAATAACCAAGAATTGGAACCCACCCAGTTGTCCTTTTGTGGGTGAGCGGTTCCTTATCATGGAATACTACGTGGCAGTAAAAAAGAACAAGCTGTCAGTACACACAGAACTTGGATGAATCTTGAGGCAGTCATTGCATGATAAGCCCATCCTAAAAGGCCGTTATATGACATTTTTGGAATGCCAAGATTACAGAAACCTTCAGTGGATTAGTGGTTGCTAGGGGTTAAGCATGGGTGGGGGGCGGTTGGCCATACACAGTGTGTTCACTGTTACACAGTGAGCGTGACTATACACGGTCAACAGGAGTGGTCCTTGTGACAGCGGCAGTCTGTGACTTATGTCAGTATCAGTGTTATGATTGTGATAGTGCTCCAGCTCTGGCAAGATGCGGCCATCGAGGGAAACTGAGTGGGGAACATGGGAGATGGTTCTGTTCTTAGAGCTGCATAAGAAGCTACAAGATGAAAAGTTTCATTTAAAAAAGAAACTCTTGGGACTTCCTTGATGGTCCAATGGTTGGGACCCTGTGCTTCCACTGCAGGGGGCACAGATTCGATCCCTGTTCAGAGAACTAGCTCTCACGTGCCACAGCTAAGACCCCGGGGCAGCCAAATAAAATATTTTAAAAAAGAAACCCTTACCCATTAAAATAATTCACAGTCTGCATGTTATGTTGATGTTTAACATCCTTTGAGATGCAGTCATTTTTAAATTTTTCCTTTATTAGAAACTAATTTTAAAAAATCTGAGACTTTCCCCATGGGGACACGTGGGAAAGTTGTCTCTGTTCTCCACCTCAGATTTCTAATGTGACTGATTTTGCTGCCTGAAGGGCATGTTGCAAAGAGAGTTTGATAATCCCCACTTAGAATCCTGTTAAACCTTTTTGCTGTGACATGTCTTCTCACAGGCAGATTTTTAAAAATATTTCTATTGGTTCATCGAAGAGTAGCTGAAATAACTTCTTCAGCATCTTACATTTGTAGTTTTACAGCTGAAGGGCTTCCCAGGTGGTACTGGTGGTAAAGAATCCACCTGCCAATACAGGAGAAGAAGAGTTAGATCACTGGGTTGGAAAGATCCCTTGGAGGAGGAAATGGATACCCACTTCAGTCCATGGGGTGGCAGAGTCAGAATTGACTAAGCACCTGACAGAATTGACAACAACTGGTAGGGCATTTTCCCACCTTGCCTCCTGTAATCCTTGTTGTTTGAGACTTGGAGGTGTAGGTGGTGTTTCAATCTCATTTTTGACCCAATTCTGAAAAGATTTGTTGAAGATTCCACAGTGGCCAGATTGGAAAACCCAAGTGGGCACAAACCTGGGCTTGTGTTTCTAAGACCTTCGGGTGTTCCACAGTGTCACTGGACCTGGAGGCCTAGGTCTTAAC